GTCTTAAACTCAGAGAAAATGCCTCCAGAAGATATGGCTATAAGGCATTTCTTAATTAGTGATTGATGGGATAGGGCCCAGCTCCTTGTGAGTAGTGCCATCATTGGGCTGGTGGTCCTGGGTTCTATATGAACATAGGCTGAGCAAGATAATAAGAATCCAGTAAGCAGCACTCCTCCATGGCCTCTGCATCAGTTCCTGTCTCCATGTTCCTGCCCTGTTTGAGTTCCTGTCCTAGCTTCCTTCAATGACAGATTACAATGTGGAAGTGTAAGCCAAACAAGTACTTTCTTTTCCAAGTTGCTTTGGTCATAGAGTTTCATTGCAACAATAGCAACCCTGACTAAGACAAGTTGGTACCAGGATAGTGGGGTCCTGCTGTGACAGACCTGACCATGTTGCTCTAGGGAGGACTATGGAGGGACTTGGGAACTTTGCTCTAGAAAAGCCATTGAGTGTTGAGAGCTCAGTGAACTTCTCTGTAGGAGTTTGGAAGATAAGAATGTTGAGAACAGTGCAGACAATGAAGGCCTGGCTTGTGATGTTTCATAGGGAAGCAAAGACTCTACCAAGCTATTTATGTGAAGAATCTGTGGTGTCTGGTCAGCTGGAGCAGGAGAATTGGCTGTGATTAACAAGAGACCAGAACCACTCAAGTAAAACCTTTGCTTTGCTGGGACGATGGATGCTGGTCAGCTGGGGCTGAAGAACCATTTGTGAGTTAGAAGACGCCAGCATCACTGAGGTAAGGTCTTCTGGGAAGTGTTTCCTCAGGCACAGCACACAGAAGCTTTGTTCCAGAAGCAGCCAAGTGCTGGCAGCCGAACTTGCTAGTGTAAGAGTCACCCAGGTGGTACTGGGTTTTGAAGGCATGAAGAGGTCATGGAGAGCAGCTGAGGCTTGGCACTGTGTAGCAGGGCTGGAGTCCCTGAAGAGAGCCTAGGAGGAGCTATTGGTAAAAGTGTAGCCCAGTGGCAGCAAGGGACCCCAGCATTTTGGAGATGCTAGTACCATGAGACCACCACGAAAAAGTTGTATGCGCTGCGGAGGGCAGAGCCAGAGACGTGACCCAAGTCCCCTGGAGGATTCCAGAAAATGGTGAGTGAATCCCAGATAGTCGGATAGTGAATTATTTATACTTTTCAAGTTTAGTTTTGCTTTATTTATAGTGTAACTGTCACCTGATTCTTTCCTCTTGAATTAAGAAAGTATTTAACTTATTTTTGGTTTTACAGGAGCCCAGAGTTGAGAGACTTTGAATTTTAAAAGACTTTGGATTTTAAAAAAAGGCTGAATTTTTTAAGCATTTGGATTTTTTAAAGACTATGGGATTTTTAAATTTTGGAATGTTTCTGTTAAAGTGTGATCTTAGGAGGGAAAGAAAAGAAGAGTTGTGGCTTAATGGTGACGTGTTTGTGTGTCAAGATGACAAGTGGTCAGCTCTGCTAGCTGGTTTGGGTCAACTTGGAACAGGCTGAAATTATCTAAAAAGAGGGAGCCTCAGTTAAGAAAGTGCCTCCATAAGATCCGGTTGTAGGCCATTTTCTTAATTGGTGATTTATGGGAGAGATCCCAGCCCATTATGGATGGGGCCATCTCTGGGCTACCTACTGGTCCTATAAGAAAGCAGGCTGTGCAAGCCATGAGGAGCAAACCAGTAAGCAGCTCTCCTCCATGGCCTCTGCATCAGCTCCTGCTTCCAGGTTCCTGCCCTGTTGAGTTCCTGTCCTGACTTCCTTCAGTGATGCATTACAGTGTGGAAGTGTAAGCCAAATAAACCCTTTCCTTTCCAAGTGGCTTTGGTCATGGTGTTTCATCAGAGCAATAATAACCCTAAGACAACAAGAATATATAAATTAATACTTAATATTTAAATATAATTAAATAAATTAAATATTTAAACCTATTTCTAAGCCATAACATGCTTCCTCATTAACCTAAAATGTTTTAAGTAATATTGACTTATCGGAACTTGAATACATGGAGCCTATCACTACCAAGATGTAGAACCACTTTATTTCTTTGGGGAACACTATTGAGTTTGTATTTGCGCCAGCCCAATCCCTGTCACCAAGAAGCAAGACATCAGTCTGTTCTATGTCTCTGTAACTGTGTCACTTTAAGAATGGTATGTGAGTGCAGCTGTACAGTATTTAACCATTGGAGGCTAGCTTTTCAACTCCGTGTAATTACCTTGAGATCCATCCTGGCTGTTATTCAGGTTCACTCTTTTTTATTGCTCAAGGGTGGTGCATCGCACGTATGGTCCAGAGTTTAACTACTCATCTGTTGAAGGACATTCGACTGCCCCCTCTCTTTGGGTGTTGAAAGTAAAAAAAATCTCTGTGAATATTCTATACAGGTTTTTGTATAACTATAAAATTTCATTTCTCTGGGAGAGATGCCCAAAAGTCTGACAGCTGGGTTATATGGCAGATACATGTTTGGTTTCTGAAGAGACTACCAAATTATTTCTCAAAGTTGTATCATTTTTACATTCTTCCCAGAAATGTATGAATTTTGTCATCTTCCCATGTCCCCGGGATCATGGAAGATGATCATTTTTTTTTCTTTAGCTCTTCTAGCAGTCCTGTGATGAGCGCACTGGTTTTTCTTTGCATTTCCCTAACACTGAACAGGGTTGACAAGCTTTTATTGCACTTGGTTGCTGTTTTCACCCCAGCCTTGATACAATGTCTCATTCCTTTACACATGTTTTAGGTGGATATATATATTTTCTTCCTCCATCTTTACTTTTGGGGTTTTTGTTCAGGATAAAATTTTTTGTCCCTGTATGAGATTTATAAACTTTCTCCTGCTCGGACCTTGTCCTTTCATCTAACCACGGTCTTTCACAGAGGAAATGTTTTGTTTTGGTAAAATTCATCTTAGCAGTTTTCCTCTAATTCTTAAATGATCTTTTTATTGACTGTAAGTGCTTGCATATTACCCTAGCTCATGTTCTGTTGCTGTAATAAAACACTGATCAGAAACATCTTGGAGGAGGAAAGGGTTTATTTGGCTCACAGTTATATCACCAACGAAAGCCTCTTTCGGCAGGGACTCAGGGCAGGAACCTGGAGGCAGGAACTTCAGTAGATGCCGTGGCGGATGGAGGAACACAACTTCTGGCTTTTCCATATGGATTGCTCAGCTTACATTCATAGACAACTATGGTGGTACTGTGTTCCCCAAAATATTTTTCACTCTAATAAACTTATCTGGGGTCAGAGACAGAACAGCCACAATATTAAACATAGAGGTTAGGCAGTGGTAGCACACGCTTTAATCCTAGCATTCCAGAGGCAGAAATCCGTGTGTTTAAGGATACAGCCAAGCATGGTGACTTACCCCTTTAATCCCAGGGAGTGATGGCAGAAAGCAAAAAGGTGTATAAGACGTGAGGACCAGAAACTAGAAGCTTTTAGCTGGTTAAGCTTTTAGCTGGTTAAGCATTTGCCTGGCTAAGCATTTGGCTGGTTGTTAAGCTTTCAGGCTTTCGAGCAGCAGTTCAGCTGAAACCCATCTGGATGAGGACTCAGAGGTCTCCACTCTGAGGAAACAAGACCAGCTGAGAAATTGGCCAGGTGAGGTTAGCTGTGGCTTGCTCTGGTTCTCTGATCTTCCAATTCACCCCAATACCTGGCTCAGGTTTGATTTTATTAATAAGACTCTTTAAGATTCATGCTACAGACAACCCAGGACCACCTGCTCCAGGACGGCACTGACCGCAGTGGGCGTGGCCCTCCCACATCAGTCAACAATCGAGAAAATGCCAGCCACACAGACATGCCTACAAGCCAATTTGATGGATGCAATTCCTTAGTTGAGGTTCCCTATTCCCAGGTGACTTTAGCTTTTAGCAAGTTGACAGAAACACATATTAAGGAAATTAGTCTATGGTTATCATATTTATTGGAAAGATTTTCCTATTTGTGGTACTTCTGTTTCATATATTTTTGTGTGTAGCCAGTTTGTTAATCATTTTCACTTGCTGTCCGTTTTGTGCTTATATTCCTCTCTCTGCCCAGCCATATCACTTCCTGTCTCCACCTCCCTAGTGCTGGGATTAAAGGTATGAGATCCCAAGTGCTGGGATCAAATGTGTGTGCCACCCCTGCCTGGCTCTGTTTCCCTCTTAGACTGGATCAATCTTGTGTAGCCCAGGGTGGCCTTGAACTCAGAGAGATTGTTCTGCTTCTGTCTCCCAAGTGCTGGTGTGTGCCACCACTACCTGACCTCTATGGCTAACTAGTGGCTTAGATCCCCACTGTGATCTTCAGGTAAACTTTTTTGTTAGATCACAAACAAAATATCATCACATCTCTCTGTCAACACAGTAGCTTATAACAATGCTTCCAGGGTAAAACACACACCAAATATGTCATTCTGTCACTCAAAAATCCCATAATAGGACTGTATACGCAACTCAGTGGATAGCACTTGCCTAGTATGCATGAGGCCCTGAATCCCGTTCCAACATTACAGCATCAAAAAAAGAGTTCTACATTAAGGGAAGTAAAAGAATAATATGAAGGATTAAAAATCATATCTAACCATAGTCAAATGAGAGAACAAAAATTTTATGGAAGAATATGACATATGACTATGGAAATATATTTGAAATTTTGAAAGAATTAATGTTTATCAAAATAAATAAATAAATAAGTCATCACAATTGAACACAGAGAAAGCCTGAATTGGTCCATAATCATGGAGGAAATGGAGAAGATTTGCCATCTGAAAGGGAAATGGGACCTGGTACAGTAGCTCTAGGGGGAAATGACATCCACTCTACCCTGGTAGTGAATGCGCAGCCCACAGGAAAAATAAGGTTTATAAAACCAACTGCTGGGGCTTCCGTTTCATACAGCAGGCCTGTCCAAGCAACGGCGTGAAGCTGGTCACATGCCTTCTGATTGCTTTTACATGAACGACTTTATAATTTTCTCCAGAGAAAACAGATTGTATATAGAAATGAACAGATGTGGAGCCAGGGCCCAGGTTCCTCTTTATCTATTTTATTTTATTTTCTTCTGGAAGCCTCCAGATGGCAGCATGTTCCTGTGGTAGAGGATGCTGGCGGTCCGCTCTGCTTTTCCCGTTCACTGCAGGACCCATGAGTCAGGCTGTCAACAGGGGGAGGAGATGGGAGCCAAGGTGGTAGACATGTTTCAGAATATCCTGAACTTTTATACTCCACTCAGCTTACCATCCATAAAGAACATCTCTAAGCTGGCAGCTCACATAGGTAGTTCCCCTACAATCATAATAGGAAGAGGGATTTTATTTTGAGCTGCATTTGTAACACTCTGGTTAGAAAGCTGATTTTTGTTGTTGTTCTCAACACACCATTTGTACAGAAACCATTTTTTAGTTTTCATACTTTAAGCTAGGCAGTGATAGTCAGCATTACAATTATGCAGATGCTAACATCAGCTCTTGTTAACTGCTAACTGGTCTCTGTGGAGCAATGACTCTCAACTTTCCTAATGCTGGACCCTTTAATACAGTTTCTCATGTTTTGGTGACCCCCAACCGTAACATTATTTTGTTGCTACTTCATAACTGTAATTTTGTACTGTTAGGAATCATAACATAAATACCGGATATGCATGATATCTGCTATGCAACCCTGTGTAAAGGTCATTTGACCCCAAAAGAGGTCGTGACCCCCCAGGTGGAACCCCCACTTTCGAGTCTCCTCTGCACACTCTTCTATTCCCAACATCCTGAGGCTTCTCCTCACAACTGCAGTAAGTGTAAGATGCCTCGGTGACTCACCACAGGGGTCCTGAGCAATCTGCTCCCCTACTCCCCTCAGAGCCCCTCATCACTTGACTGTGGCCACCTTGTCTTTGCTTGAACAATGACAGTTCATTTCCCATCAGGATCTTTGCACTTCCCAGCACTCTGGGGTTTGTGTGGCTCACTCACCCAGTCAGGTCTCTTTTCAGCTATCATTTTCCTGGGAGTTCTTCCCAGATCACTACCCCTTCTCTGTGTTATATCTTATCACCCCCGTATTGAAAGGATGAAAAATACCTAACACTTTCATGTGTGTCTTTACCAAACAGAATTCTACAGAAAATTGGGACTTTGTATTGTTTCCTTCTGTCTTCCTTCAATCTATGAAAATGCCTGATACATACCACATGCTAGGGGCTCAATAATGAGTTTATTGATTGAATGAAAGAACAAAGCAAAGTTCAGTCAATGTATACCTCCATTTCATCTCTTTCGATATATCATGTGGCAGATACTTGGAAAATAGAATCCCAAACTATTGCGATAGCATTATTGTCAGTAAGTCATTGATAATATTTCCTACATATTTTTTTTTTTTACTATTCCCCTCCTCTCTCTTCCTCTCTCTCTTTCTTTTGAGACACGGCCTCTCTCTATAGCCCTGGATGTGCCAGAACTCACTATGTATATTAGGTTGGCCTCAAACCTATGGAGATCAGCCTGTTTCTACTGGGATTAATGGGACGCACCGTCACACCAGCTATTTATTATTTCCTAAGCATACATTTGATTCAAAACTGCCCCAAGCAATTCCACAAGGCCCTGTCCAAAGATGAAAAGCACAGACCATGGATATTGAGGGGGGAGAATTGTTCTTGACTACAAATGAGGTCCCTGATAGGTCGTCCACTCCCAACTGTTATCCCCAAACATACACGCATAGAAACAACCTGAACTGTTCTCCGCATTTTGTGTGTGTAACAATAACTAAAAGAAGAGGTTGTGAATTGAAAAGGGAGTGGAGAGGTGGTATCAGAGGACCTGGAGGAGGATGGAGAGGGGTAAAAATTATGTAAATACAGTACTCAGGCATGAAATTCTCAAAAAAATTAATAAAAATCTCCCTGTAAAGTTACCAGTGGTCATATAAATTATAGCAGCTAGATATCTTACCTTCAGCATTTATATAATTAAAAGTGGAATCAGCATCAAATTATTCCATAAGAGATCTATGGATTTAACTCTCTTTTTTTCAAGACAGGGTTTCTCTGTGTAAGGGCTCTGGCTGTCCTAGAACTCACTTTGTAGACCAGGCTGGCCTTGAACTCACAGAAATCCTCCTGTTTCTGCCTCCCAAATGCTGGGATTAAAAGTGTGCTCCATGACTGCCCAGCCTGGAATTTATTCTTAAAGTAATTTCACTGAGAACTTCCACAAGTCCCTAAAAGAGCTTGTCACCAATGTTGGAAGACTGCATTACTAATTCCAGATGCTATTTTGTCCTCGAACCAGCTCTCAGGCATGGAATATGCAGGCTGGAGAGAGAAGGGTATAAGTAATTAAGATGTGAGTTCACTCAGGCTGCATCCCAATCACAGCTCTGTTTCTGGTACTGCTAATAGACTGTGCCCTCACCTTGTAAGTGGAATTGTATCCCACATGGGCATGTGCAAAGACGAAGTCTGAAAAGTTCTGCTAAATAAAAAGAAATTCATTAAATACTATTTCCGTTTGAATGGATATAGCTATAATCACAGTATATGAATTCACTAATTAAAGTTGTAATAAAATATTCTATTATAAAGTATATTTAAGTAATTTCTTAACTTCTTCCTTGGTATTAAGAAAAAATTTCCAAGCTGAATTATATTAAATATCTGCTTGGAAGTGGAATCAAGGACTTAATTTTTCATAGTATCTTATGGAGTATTCCTCTTGTTTTTCTAAGTGACCAACACCTTAATTTTTATTTTAAAGTAGTTTTGATTATTTTATTCATACTTATAAAAATAATAGCAGCTTTAATCTGCTACATGTGTATAATGTCCTAAGCTCTATGTCTTGTCTTGGAACCCAGTTATCTTCGTAATAGTTTTTCAGTGGGAAAATGGTTCTAACTGTTTGTTCACCGAATACAAATGAAGTTTCTTAAGATGGTGGAGGTGAAGAACTGTCTTAACTTGATGACCACACGCCCCCTCCCTTTTTGTTGTATTTTTTACTACAAGGGTCTTGTAACCTACACTGGCCTCAAACATAAGTGCTGGGATTACAAGCATGTACCACCTTGCTCAGTTTTATGTGATGCTGGGAATGGAACCCAGGGCTTCATGCATGGCAGGCAAATACTGTACCAACTAAATTACATACCCAGCCCCTGGTGGGTGTAACTTCTAATGAAGGAAAACCTGTGTAGCATGGCAAATTGAGTCAAATTAGCATAAATTGTCTGTGCAGGAGAGTACTGAAGCTCCCTCATGCTTTATTTCCATAAAATACTGTGGTATATAAAGATATTGCTGCCCATAACAGTAGTATTGCTCTCAACATATTTATTTGAACAGATACAAAATCTGATGCTTACCTGTCTTGTAGTTACTTTTCCGATGAGATCTCATTGATTTTCTTTAGCTGTGTCTTGGTTTCTTTTCTATTGCTGTGAAGACATTATGATCAAGGCAACTCAGAGAAGAAAGAGTATATTAGAGAGTATAAAGACAAAGGGGCTGACCTTTTCAGAAAGTGAGTCCATGATCATTATGTTAGGGGTCATGGCAGCAGGAAGGTGGGCAGGTAGAGCAGTAGCTGAGAGCTTATATCCTGACCCACAAGCAAAAAAGGGGGAGGGGGATCTAACTGAAAATGAAGTGGGCTCTTAAAATCTCAAAGCCCACCCCCCAGTGACACACCTTCCCCAACAAGGCCACACCTCCTAATCCTTCCCAAACAGTTCCACCTACTGGAGATCAAGTATTCAAATATATGATCCTATAGGGATCATTCTCATTCAGATTCCACAGACTACTTCTTGCCTTGACTTAGCACAGGGTAGTTCATTATAGGGGAGCTTTTTTGATGCAGAAACTAAAAATCTCCTCAGTTATATAACAAGACCACAATTTATTTTTCTAGTATGGCAAGGTAGATATAATAGACATCTGTAATTCATTTCTGCTCAGCATCTATTCTCCTATAATGATATGAAATCTACCTCTTTAGGGAACCATCCTCTACCACTGGCTCATTTATATCTATGCTTGGGGTGTGGGGAAGGAACAAGGGGCTGAATTGTGTTCTGAAGCTGACAGTTGGTATACAACAGTTGAGAGTCATATCTATTGGTTAGGGTATCTATTGCTGTTTAAAACACCATGACCTAAAAGCCTTTTGGGGAGGAAAAAGTTTATTTCATATTACACTTCTACGTTAGAGGATACTGTTGAAAGAAGTCAGGCCAGAAACTCAAGTCATGAACCTGGAAGCAGAGCTGATACAGAGGCCATGGAGGAGTGCTGCTTGCTGCTTTGTTCCCCAAGACTTGCTCAGCCTGCTTTCTTATGCAAACCAGGACTCTGCCTAAGGGTGGCACCACCCACAGTGGCCTGAACCCTCCCACATCAACCATTAATCAATAAAATGTCCAGCAGACTTGCCTACAGGCCAATTTTATGAAGGCATTTTCTCAAAATTCTCTTTCCAGACTTGTCTAGGTTTGTTTCAAGATGATAAAAACCAATCATCATGGTCCATGATCCTGGCCAGTTCAAAGAAGGCCAATTACAGCTATGGATGTCAGGCTAAGACCTTCTGCTAGAACTGCTGGGAAAAGGAAGGTCATCCTCCATTCCAGGGGTTAAGTCTAAGATTGCTCATAAACTATTTTGAATAAGAAAAGTATATTGTTTGAGCACATACATCTAGCTTTACCTGAAGCCAGAAACTGTCAACATTTTGAACTACATTAACTCAAGTTACTTGACTTTCTTTTATCCATTACAACAACAGCAATACAAATCTTGAATAGCACAGTAGGAAAGACTACAGACCATCAGAGAGCAGTGGTTAGTGAAATCCAGGATGATATCATCATGGCAGTTCTTTTCCACCTTCTGCTTTTGAGACGATGGTCAACTACCTAATTTCTCAGCCACAGATTTAGAACAGGAGTAATAGTAGTCTTGCCTAGTAGGACTCTCAGATCAAAAAATCAAACAGGTTAGTTTAGGAAACAAGCTTAGCATGCTGCCTGTGAATAATTAGTACTCCCAAATGCATTATGAATTTTATTCCTCGTCAGCTTTAGACATCGAAACACCAAGTCTTGGAAAGGCACCCAGAAGCCTCACAGAATGCTGCTGTTGTCATCTGCTTCTCCAGCCACATTTGGACGCACATCTGGTGGCTCAGTGTATAAGCAGGACTTTAGATCTCTACACCTTCTGTTCTTGTGACTTAATGTTTAATACAGGGAGGCAACAGAATACAACTGCTCTATCAGAGTCATGTTCAACCCTGAAGCAATTTCCATTTTTATGCTTACTCGGAGCAGTTTGTAAGATATGAAATCAGTGAGAAGAGACGTCTTCCTGTTAAAGAAGACATTTTCTTAGACCGCATATGCCTTTAAACATTACTACTCAGAATTTTGTTATTTCTCTACAAAGATGTGATTACAGTATTACAAGGAAGATATTGTTAGTTGTACAATACCCTTCATTCAGCTCTTTTTGAAGCAAGTATTATGCATCCTGTGTAAGTATAACCACATGTTACATTGGAGAACTAAGAGGAAGGATGTAAATCTGAGCTTGGTGAGGAAAATCAGAGAAAGATTGACCTTTCTGGTAAATTTTAAAGCTCTTCTCTTTTGAGTAGTTTTGTACAATGTAGGCCTGTGTTATAGGAAAATCACCAGAGAATGCAAATAAAGTGCTAAGTAATTTAATAAGGTTTTTTATATTAAGGTAATTAACCACAGATTAAAGTAAATAGTTGTACATGTCTCTCAATGTCGCTCAATTTATGGGGTTTTTAATGTCTTTCTGCCTCCCTTCTCACTGTCAGATGGCTTGCTGCTTCATATACAGCTGCTAGAGTGTCTGAGTTTAGAAGCTGCCCCCTTTTCACCCTCTTGCTTCTCCACAGTGGAGAGAGAAATTGAATTTGCTCCAGGATAAATGTAGGCAGGAACAGGCTTTGATAGAGTCGGGGTTTCCTAAGGTGGATTGGGTGATTTTAACATAAAGGTTGTCACTTTGTTCTATGCAACCCAAGACTGATGTTTTCTTCTGAGGTTTTTGTTTGTTTGCTTGTTTTGTTTTGTTTTCAAGCACATCTGCATGAGGATGACCTTTGGGTGGTACTTTTGCAACAAAATTTCCAGGGACTTTTAATGTAGCTGGAATTTGTACTTATGTGCAATTTGTTCTCGATTGCTCATGATCTACCTGTGGATATTTTAGTGACAGCAGAAGAAAACTGAAGTTCTGGATTTTGTATTGGAACTGTTCCAAACTTGCCCTGCCTACTTCCTCGCCAACTGAAGATTTGTGGCGGTCTGTCTCCTCTTATATTTGAATGCTTGTTCCTTAGCTGGTAGAACAGTAAGAAGAAGGGTATGGCCTTGTTGGAGGAGGTATGTCTGATGGGTGGGCTTGGAGGTTTGAAGAGCCTGTATCAGGTCTAGTCCTTCTCTCTCTGCCTCTGGCTTTTGGATAAGATGTGAGCTCTCAGCTACTGCTCCAGCCCCATGCCTCTGTGCTTGTGGCCTTGCTCGCTGCCATGATGGCCATGAACTCATGAAACTGTAAGCAAACCCCAATGAAATGACTGCTTTATAAGTTGCCTCCGTCATGGTGTTTCTTCACAACACTAAAAACAGCAGCCCAGACAGGCTTTATCACTATTTTTTTTTTTACTCTGTCTTGCTCACTCTTGCCCAAATGAAATCTTTTAAAACTCTTGAGTGGAGTTAGGACACATTTTCCCAAGCACTCTCAATGTTCTTAAGGCTTCTAAGTCATTTCATGTATTAATGCGCCTATGACTCAAAATCTAGATTGTGTAAATCTCTTTCCATTTTAATGCATATCACCACACAATCTTCCCAGAGCATTGGAAAGCTGGCCAAATGCTACTACTTACTGTTCTATATTCGACAGTGCATAAGATCATTGTTTCTAAGCATGCTATCATCTGCTGTGAGGATATACATCTCTCTTTCTCAATCTATGGAAAAATAATATTATCAATACCCCCTTTATACTCTCCCATCTTCTTTTATTATGTCTGGTAGGAAAGTGACTGCACACTTAATGACAGAAGGGCTAATGACTTAAGCAAAACTGGTTGCTCATCCTTGTAGCTGTCTTTGTTTCTCCTCAGACAAGCCTTCTGTGTGTAAATATGTCCAGACATTGTCACGTTATACTGGAGTATTCAGGAAGGCATGATATATCCATCACTAATGCACATCTATGCAAGGAATTAAAGGAAACACAGCCCAGATTCTCAGTTACATGCACAGGATATAAGACAACAACTCCATGCCTAAATATTAAATGGTTTCAGTCATTTCTCTTTTCAGGCAGACACATTCTTATCTTGGAGATTCTGTCCAGATATGTGATAATACAGCTTTCTAACTGGGAGCCTTTGATTTCCAAGTTCAGAAGAACATGTTTTTACAGTTCTGTTATTCCCATCCCAGTTTTTAAGCTTTGTTAAAAAGGACTCTATTTCAGTGTGGTTTTTTTCCCCCCTCTGTTAGTATTATAATAGGAAACTCATTGTTGGGATGTGTGTATTCCAGATGAAAGTGATTTCACACTCTTAATGAATTACATAAACCCCTTGGGTTTTCTTGAGCTAAATTTCAAGTATTTTTTATGTTTTTTTTTTAAATCTCACAACCTGCTTAAAATGATCAGAAATTAATAAAATCCTTTCCCCAAATAAATGGTGTATCCTTAATGAGATGTGACAGCAGTGTCTTTACTAATAACTCACAGACTTCAGCACAGGAGTCAAAGGTACCTGAGTATTTCAGTTAAAATGGGATGCTAATGATGCGGCCCTTCGAAGCGTCATTTCAGCATCATTAAATTAGTTCCATGCTGAGAAAATGTCTCCTTTAAATATATATTCCACCCACTGTCCGGCTAGGCGCATGGTTCTATGATCTGCTTGCTTCAGTAGAAAGAGAGAAAATGGCATCAATGCTGTGAGGAGAGGTTCCAGAGTGAAGGGATCACTTCTATAAATGGAGGGTCACTGCCTGATAAGCCACAGTTATCTATTTATTTCCAAATACTCTCAGAAATGGAAGGTAATTTTGTGTTCATTTTTAAGCTGACCTGGAACATTTTTTTTTTCTGGTAACTAAGCAGAGTACAAAGTGCCAAAGAACACCTGTCTGCCATGATTACATTGCCCACATCTCACATCCTCCCCAAGCTTATTATAAAGAGGTATTAATTACAGATCCAACTAATCACACAAAACTGACATGTATAGCATATAAAAAGCTTTTCATTGACAGAAAACCATCTTCTCAGCTGCAGTTATATGAACAGTAAGTGATAGTACCTGAAGGTGGCTAATAACGGGTCTGATTCTAGTGGGTCATCCTGAGGCTGTACCCTGGACTCCATCCAC